ATTTCTCTACATGATTAATCTGAAATCCAATATGGGTTTAAGAGGAATCATGGAGATTAGTGAGTAATCACCTTTTGAATTCATGGGTTAGGGAGATTAAGGGTGATTAGGTTAGATTTAGGATGTTTTAGTGTTAGATTTCTCTTGTTCCTTGCTTATTAGAGTAACCATAATGCCTCTTTTGAATTGATCACTCAAAGGTTGATCTCTAGACATTTCCCACTCACAAAGTGTTCGATGAAATGTCTGAGTCAACTCTCTTAAGCTTTTAACTGTCTTTACCAGGGACACTTGTTGTTAAAGGTGTTAAGATGGCTAATAGATCTATTCTTAATGATTACTTTCATAATATTCAACCAAAGACATTTGATGCTTGAGTTATGGTAGTAAATGAACATTCATCTAGACATAGAGCTTGTTTAGAATCGTATCTAGGCCTAAGGTAGACAGTTTCATTGATCGCTTGCCATCCTTAGATCGAAACTTGATCACCCAAAGTCAAATTCCCTATACCCATGAGTTCTCCTTTTTCTTAATCAAAGAAGTTATTTTAATTATCGCTTTTCTTATTTTTAGTTAACCTTAAAAACCAATCAATCACATGATCGTACTTGGATTAAGCTAGTACTTGTATTCTCGGTGCTTTTAAATCCCTCAGAACTGGTTCGGCAATCATATATACTACAACATTTGTTTTAGGAGTCTCAAAAACTCCTAATATCATTTATACTTATGCATTTTCTAAGTTAATGAAGTTATTTTCAGATCAATTTGTATAATTATTAGTTGTATAAGTAATATTTTAGTTTTATAAGTTGTTGGAGTCTTTTGTGTAAGGTAAAAATAAAACTCTATAAGAATATGGATATTTCCGACGGATTCCTGACGGAAACATGCAAGTCCGTCGGAAATACGTCGGAAACTACCGACGAATTTCTTACGGTTTGGGGTTTCACAAGAAATTAGATGTCCGTCAGAAATACGTAGGTAGTTTCTGACGGATTCCCGGCAGACTTGCATGTTTCCGTCGGGAATTGAGTAAATGGCTAATTTTGTCATTCTTTCGGATACGGAAAATGTCGAAATGACACTTATTAAGTGTGTAATAGGATATTCATTCATAAGAAATCAAATTTTCATCTAAAACAATTATTACAAAGAACATCAACATATGCTTTATATATCACCTTAACACTTATACATTTTAAGGAATACATTGCGGAAATCTACTTTCACAATAAGTGCTTTGTGTAATCGGTATTATTTTAAATATTTTAATGGTTATAGTCCCTCTAAATCATTAACATACATAGATTAGCATATAATGGAGTTATCCACAATATTTTGAAATCCCTAAACTATAAAATGTCAAAGGCCGTCGGAATTCCGTCGGGATTTCCCAACGGAATTCCGACAGAAACGTAAAACCTGACCAATGGAGAGGATTGGGAAAAAGTAAGAAATTGTTCCATTTATGCCACGTAAGTCAATTCTAATTTTTGTATCATGTATTGTTTCCTTTTAATCAAAATGTATACTGTAAATTTTAGCTTATTTTTTTGTTTTGGTTTTGGTTTCAGTTTCAGACCGCTACAGATTGGACCTGCAAAATTAGATAGTAAGATGGCTGCTCATCTTATGGATAAAACCGAGTGGCTTTCTAACTAGGTAAACCTTATAGACTATTACCTTCCATTTGTCTTTTATATACCTTGTGTGTGTTAACATTATCAATTTATGCAGGAGACTAACGCCACAATGTATGTATTCCGTGAGAGAACAACTCTGAAACGATGGAAACCTCATTGTGTTGCTTTCATGACTGTTGTCTTCAGCAATATGATAAAAAAGGAGCACGAGTGTGGAAACGAGGTAAGAGATCATACAGTCTTCATAATTTGTTACTGCAGTTCGTCAAAGGATCCTTCCACCAAATGTTAGAACTCATGAGATATGGAATATAGATGTGGATCGGCTGTATGTCCCTATTCATGTCGGTGAGATTCATTGGATCGCTTTGTGCATTTGTTTCCAAACCAAACACATTGATGTGTTTGACTGCTCTGGTGTAAAAAGGTATAGGGAGGTGGATGGGTTCACGAACCTTGTTCCGCGTATTGTGAAGGCAGTTCAGCCAGCGATATACCAGAAGGATTTCACTGTAAGTCTGTATACGGTTACGTATGTCCCAATGGAGAGTCTAAATGCAGGTGCTTGTGATTGTGGTGTCTACACACTGAATTTCATTGAGTGTCATGCTCTTGGATTGGATTTGTCATTACTGAATGATGAAAACATCAAAGAAGCACGTCTTAGAGTTTTGTGGGATCTTTGAAAAGCAGCTAATGACCCGGTATTGGTCGAGAAGATATCAAAGTATGAAGTTCCAGAATGTTTGCCTTCGGTTTATGAGGAGATTTTGTGATGTAAATAGTTATGTTTTTCATTCTACTTTGTATGGTTTTTAATTAAGACTTTTATGATTCTAGAATGCCTAACCTAAATTAGATAGTATGCTTATTGTAATGTAATTGTTTTGTGGATTTTTATGATTCTGATTTCTAAGGAAAAAAATTGTAAACGCAGAGAAAACATATCCTAAACTACAGCAAAACTAAATGAGACCCTAAACATACTCTAAACTACAACAAAACTAATTGAGACCTTAAACATATCCTAAACATACCCTAAACTACAAGAAAACTAATTGATACCTTAAACATACCTAAACTACAATAAAACTAATTGAGACCCTAAACATATCCTAAACTACAACAAAACTAATTGAGACCCTAAACATACCCTAATAAAAACCATAACCCTGAACGATAGCTTAAGGTAAAACACTACTCAACACAACCAATACCTTCACTAAAGTAATCTAAACATTAGTCTATTGACACTAGGAAGTTATCAAATCAGTTTGAGTAATGATCTTCGTAAGTTTGAGTACACCTTTCAAATGATTAGAATACTCTTACCTAGCTAAACACTAATCCCGACTTATAGATCCAACACAGCGATATAAACCCACACAAATTAGATTCAAAAGTAACCTAATACCCGACATATAAATAACAAAATACCCATTTTTCTCATTTTTCTCGTAGCAGTTTCTTTGCGCCTCTCTCCATTTTCTCTCTGGATTCCCAAACATGAGTAATTAATGGCGATTTTCACAGGGATTGCCGTCAAGGGGCTGGTGTGGGAGAGGGGTTGTGATATTCTATTCGAGAACTTCTGAGAATACATACCGATGGTTTTAAAGATTTGAAATAGGAGCACATGTTCATCCTTTCAACTTGTTTTCTGATTGAAATGCGAATTTATTTTGTCTTCATAGCTTCTATTAGTTTTGTTCAAGAGTTCTTTCGTATCTTTGATGTTTTTCATCTTATTAGATTGGGGTTTCAATGAACTTGGTTTCGATTTCTACTCACTTGAACTTGTTTTCTGATTGAACTGCGGATTTGTTTTGTCTACATATCTTATATTAGTTTTGTTCAAGATTTCTTTTGTATCTTTGATGTTTTTGTCTTATTAGATGGGATTTAAATGAATTTGGTTTTGATTGCTACTCACATGAACTTGGTTTCGATGCAGAGAAAGAAGGAAAATCATTTATTTAAGTGGGTTGATGAAGCTTTGCTTGATAATATTTGAAGGGTAGAGGCTCAGCAATTGTGAATTACACAAGAGATTGAAGATCTCAAAAAGATTTTGAAAATTACAATGGAAGAAGAAGTTAAGAAGCAGATAAAATCACTTGAAGTAGGTTGTTTAGGAAGCGTTCTATGGCTTTTAGGTAAATTTAGAAGCCGAGAATGAAATCAGTCTATGGTTTATTTGTGTTACATTGTTATGATCTCTTAAAACAATGTTGTGTTATGATGAATATGATGGTTTTGTTTGGTTTTTAGAGTTTGGTTCTTAAGATGAATATGATGAGTACAACCAATATGTCGATTGTTTGCTTATTTGTGTTATGTTTGGTTTTGTTCTGTTCATACATACGGAACTGGAAACATCATTGCAAATAAAGTGGAAAACATGATAGTAATGTATGACAATGTCAATGAAAACAAATTTTCAAACAATTTAGAACCAAAAAGCATGTGAAACAGAGTTGTAATGACAAAGAAAAAAACACTTGCACTTTATAATAAGCAGGCAATACCAACAGTTGCACACTTGAACTTGAATCCTGTTACAGAAAAAAAAAAGAGTAAAAGCATGAAACACATGTAAAATCGAGCCTTTTACAAGATCACCCTTACCATTTGTGGAAGACTAGATTGGTACTCTACAAGTTGCTATGCTCGGCCTATAACAAGCAAATATATCCAAATCAACTAAGCTGTCAAATATATCACCTCTAACAAGCAAGCGACCTTCGGTGACAGGGTAAACTGCAAATGTTCTACCTTTCCTGGTTCTCCTCTCAGTCTTTTTCTCAACATATTTGGTCAGACCATGTTTATGCTTTGAAATCAGTTTCTTACACTTATAAAACCACTGTGTCAACATTTCTCTGATACTGTCCAACAAAGGAATGACTGGATATTCTCTCGCAGAACGCAGAGCGGATTTGATGGATTCAGCAGGGTTGGTTGTCCTTATGTCATATCAGAGAAATAGTGGTTGATGGAACTTTTTTGACGAACAGATACAAAGGAGTTCTGTTGGTTGCAACTTCTGTAAACAAAAATTATAATTTGTACCCTATTTCATTTGGAGTAGTCGACTTAGAGAATGATCATTCTTGGGAATGGTTTATTACACAACTAAAGGTTGTCATTTTTGATGATCGCCATTTGGCTTTCACTTCGGATAGACATGGGTCCATTGTTAAGGCACTTGAGAAGGTGTATCCAACAGAACTCCTTTGTATCTGTTCTTCAAAAAAGTTCCATCAACCACAATAACCCACCTCATGACTCTGTTAAATCCTCGTATTGTTTGCCCAAATGCAATAAACATGAACCAAAATCTTCCACTGCTGTCCATCTCGTAAGCTGAATGTGTACCTGGATCAGCATCTCTCAGCATATGCAAGTAATTTGGTATTTTCCCATAACTCATCTCTGGGATACCTCTAACTGCATTAACCACATATTCACGTGCATCATATGCTAAAGAATTTGAGATCTCACATCCATGATCATTACGCATAATCTCTATGATATCATTTGTCTTTGGCCCTTCCTTGACGCCTTCATACTTATGCATAATCAGACTGCCTATATTTGTGGGAACCAAAATTTACACTGTCAATTTCCGTGAATTAAGGAACTTAGAGAAAACCCTAATTTCCCAGAGGTCCCGGATATCTGCTAAACCACACGCCAAGCAATCAGAAAACGAGAATAACAGTAAGAACAATAAAAATCGAGAAGTAAAGGGCAAAAAGGTTTTGTTATTCTGAATCTGCGTAAGAGCGGTACAACGAGGTAAATCCTTGGCTACAAGAGCTGACGGCGAGTTCTCTAGTTCTAGAAACCTAAGACTAAAACCCTAGTTGAGACGCAACTCGATAACAAAAAAGGAAAATTGCCTAAATGCCTAAGTTTTGTGTGTGAAGAGAGTTCTGAGTGTGTCCCTTGCTTCTGTCCTCGATCGTCTGCTTATATCTCCTTCTCTGGGCGGTTTAATCTTTCCTTTTCACCCCTGATTCGTACTTCTCGGAAATCTTCCATTTATCTCGTTCTTTCCATTTTTCTGCGGAAAACTTCTATTTATCTTCAATCTTTTTTTTCTCTTCCTGCGGATAATAGGCAAACCGTCATTGTATCTTTGGGCTGGATCCTGTCTAAAGTCGCGAGTGGGCTTTTATCGCGTTTTAGGATCTTTCGAGCCATTTTACGACTTAGCCATTTTTCAACTTTAGACAAGATCGTGTCCTAATACGACGACGTTTTTGGATAAACATCTTGAGTTTATCGTATAGTTTAGCAATGTTCGGTGTTTCGTTTGACCGTTGCCGTTTTGTACGATTTACTCGAGGTTTCACTAAAAACTCGTGTTTTACGATTTTATAAAAGATCTCGAGTTAATCGTATAGTTTGGCAATGTTCAGTGTTTCGTTTAACCGTTGCCATTTTATACGATTTACTCGAGGTTTCACTAAAACATGTGTTTTATGGTTTTTATTAAAAGATCTCGAGTTAATCGTACAGTTTTGCAATGTTCGGTGTTTTGTTTAACAGTTGCCGTTTTATATGATTTACTCGAGGTTTTACTAAAAACACGTCTTTTACGGTTTTTATCGTAAAACTCAAACGGTAAGGCGCATTGAGACGAAAGAAAAGACGTTCCGATCACGGTCCAGAGTACGGTCAAGGAGCATAGGTGGTTGAAATCAGCTCGCCCATTGCCGAGATGGACAGATGTGCTCAGCTCGCCAATGGGTGAGCTGGACAAGTGCGTGCAGCTCGCCCATGGGCGAGTGGTCACAGGTGTGGTCAGCTCGCCCATGGGAAAGCTGGACTGATGTGTTATGCTCGCCCACGGGCGAGATGGTCACATGTGTGTCCTAGCTTGCCCGTTGGCGAGCTGGACGGTTGATCGGCTTTGGTCTTTTCTTGTTTTCTCGACCCGAGACCTTTGAGGATGTAAGGAGACGTGTTCGTAGGTGTTGAATCCGATCTTTAACAATAGTTTTAACCTCTCGGGGAGTTTGGGCGTTATGGCCGTTTTTGTTAACTTGGCCAATAAAATAATCGCGGGCTGTTTTAGTTGATTTCCAGACGATTTCCAAGATGACGATTGTCGAGTTTTAAGGAGTTGCTTTGTTCGGAGAATCCTTAGATTTCTTCTCGACACTTTTTTGTGTTTAAATCTTTATTTTTAACTTTTGTAGGAAGTTTTGGTTGTTGATTCCATCGCAACCGAATTTGACCCCGACAATATTTTTCGCTGAAACAGTCTTAGTCCCTTTGGTTTTGCTTGAAGGTGCACATGTATGTTCACCAACATTCTTGTTGGTGAAAATACTTGTTGATGATGAAATATGTAGATTCCTTCAAAAACTCAGCTCGAACAGACCAATTGCAACCATTTTCTCCGCATCCAACATACCAAACTTTTCTATCTGATATTATTACCCTATAGTCAAAGATATGCTTCATTGCACATATCTCGAAGGTCGCCTTCAGCAAAGTTTCGTCCTGAAACAGTTTTCCCTTCCTAACAACATCGATCAAAGAATAATTTTCCTGTTTGTGTTGCTTCTCTTTCTCAGAGATCATAGTAACAACATTATTGGCATCTTCGTCAGAGTCGAGTTGTATCATCTTTTCTTTCTTCTTTTTGCTCTGCGTATCAGTAAAAATATCA